TGAGTAAGCTGACGAGTAACCACTGCATATGCAAAACATGGGCTCACTTGAGAACCTAGAGTGGACAACCTAATGAATCCAAAAGTCAATGCGTTCGACGTCTTTTCGCCATTCACCTCACTACTAATTAGACTGTTTATATGGTAGAGCAATTATCTTTGAAATTTTGAGTCATCTGTGTACACTGTTCCTAATTCACCTGACATTCCCAAACTGCGTTATTTTGCACTGCATTGAATTAAATAAATCAATAGATCTGTCTGCTAACTTGGCTTAATTAATAAATAACATAGTTTGCACTTGATCTTGATTCGCCAACGTGATATTCACCACTTACTCATAAATCCTCGAGCGCATATTGGTGGATTGCGTGTAATCAATAAGTGCTTAGATTAGAGACATTAATTTGATTTGATTAAATGGCGCACTGAAGGGGCATGAAGTCTCTTTATGTAACGTAATCTAGGTAAATTCTAAATTCAAGGTTTTTTAAATTCTATCGAAACGTACTAGAAAGATTTTTTCTGATAACAAAATTAGTAATTAATTTTTCATGCGTTGGATATTGGGGCAGTTTAATCGATCCACTCTCATAATCGATTTCTGTCCATGTCTCCGGACAAAGACCAGGGGGGTTTGTTCTAGTGTATAAATAAAAGAAGACGATGGATATTTTTCTATTAAACTGTTCACGAGCTCTTTTTGCCTTTTTAGCACTTCAATTCGTAAGATAGTAACTCGTTGCCCCAATACCGAGACAAAGTGTATTCAATCAAATTATTTGTGTTTATGGCTTCATTCTAATTAGTTCCCGCGTGGTTAGATCACTAAAAACTGCCATAATCCACTTAGAACATATAGATTTTAAATTAATTACCGAACATTTATGACGGTTAATGTAAAATTGGTGGATTTCAGAGCTGTCAGCCACAAAGATTAGAAGTTTAATAAGAGTACTGAAAATTGATAACTTCGATCGAAACTTATTAAAATAATTCAATGTTTGCTTCTTTCCCGAGCCTCCGCTTTTATGCATGCTAATATAAAACGAGCTCTTCATAAAATAAAGCCATTCATTATTAATTGGATTGATTTATTCCTAGACGCTCATTTAGTTATGATTTTATATGAACTGCACAAGATAGAAGCAGAGAAGGAGGCAACATCGCACTCCGAGGAGTTTGTTCAATAGATTCTTACCAAAAGTTTCCAATAAAAATTTTCCATCTGAGTTCTATACCACATCTGCCTCCTTTTCTCCATTACCGAAGTGTACTTTGGATAATCAGATATCACCAAGAACTATGACAAAGAAGAAGTCTTTGCTGAACTATTTTTTTGTTGGTTGGGGTGACCTCATTTGCACTCAAACGCGATCTGTACTTCTGAACGTTCCAGAGCGTTCGAAAATTCATGAAACTGTTTAGTTTGACCGTTTTAGGGTTTTAATATTCCACAAGTTTCAGGAGTTCACTATCTTCGCTATCACCGTCGTCTCTATCCAGTATTGAATGTTTCTGGCAGTGGTGTGGCACTTCAGGGATCAATGTGATGCAAGGCTGCATTCCAATAGGAGATTATCTCCAAGGAGTACTACGTAAGACCAACATTAATCAGTGATCATAACCTTATTTACCTACCAGCCAGCATCCAATTAGGGAATCTCAGGGGAGGAAGCAGTCAGTATCTGTATGTTATCGAAATCAATTATTCAATCATGCATACTACAACTTAGCATCTTAGATCCAATAACAGTGGCTTCATCAATGGTGGCAAATTCACAGTCACAAGGGTCTGAAATTATTCTACAAACCAACATAAAACAATTGAACTAGTGATCTCTATCTTCACTTCACTCGTTACTCCGAGGAGTTTCAGAAACACACATTAGGGATTCAAGTACACAGTTTGACTTGGTGCATTTTGTCACATTTGCTCTGACAGGTGAATTAATCACCTATGGCTGCCTATCGCCGTGTTAGGACAATCCGGCCTCGAAGTGTAATTTTGAAATTAATATTCAAGGTCATACTGAGAATGGATTTGGCCATTAAAGCATCTTTTTGCTGACAAAGTGCGACTCATAGCGCGGTTATGGTGTGCGCGATCTTGTCTATGTTCGCAATTATCATTTAAATAAAAACAAATATTAATTGGTATAGTGGAAATACCTACAGTGTAGAGATCGGAAAGGACAAATGGGCTAGGGACTACAAACAATACAGACCCCAATAGTATTCAATTTATTGGACTGAGACAGACATAATTCTTTGAATAGTCGTTAAGTTGAAATTTTTTATTTACATTCAGACAGCCTGTAATCCCCCTCCCTACCCAAATAATTGTGGTATGTAGGTTTATTTATTTTCTTCTTTTAGCCACGGCTTCTGTTAGCACCCCTTTATTTGAGCGAGTTTATTTACAGGCAGAAGATGATGCGATTTAATGTCGGCAATGAGAACATACGTCCTATTTAAAATGGCGATTGGTGTCATCGGAATGTATTTGTAATTAGTCCGAATTTCTTATGAATGCGGTTATGCTATCTGTTGGAGAGGAGAACTCGTCTAATATTTGGCCCCCTTTTAAAGACAAAGATCAACATGGACTTTTGAATTACTTCTGTCCCTTCTTATGAAAAAACCCATACAAATATTTAATGATAAAAAGACCACTGAAGTTAAATATTTATTTGATTATAATGGTAAATTAAGTAACGAGATAATCAGGAATCTTTCTTTTTATATTTTTCATTCTTTTTCTTTATCTTTTTTATTTTAGGTTTCCCTTTTTTCTGTCCACCACTTTCATTCGCACCTTGATCCTTTTCTGGGTCACCCTCAAGGTTGCATATTTCCATTGCTGGAACTTTAAATTCTTCCTTATGGCAAAGCATATAAAGCCCAAATATACCTGCCGTCATTTGAGCCTAAAATAATCAATAATTTGGAGGTATTGATCTTACGGGATCGCAGAAGATGATCTCACTTCCAGGACAGCTGTGTTGATATGCCAACCACCAGCAAGTGTCACTTGGTGTATCTGATGCTTTATTCACCGTTCGCTTTTCAAGTCCTATTCCCACTATTGCCATGGGTTTTCCGATTTGACGTGCATTTAACAATAACTAAAATTGAAGATAAGTTTATGGAAATTACTCTTAATTTAAGGTATTCAAGGCTTTGGGGGTCTGAAACGTCATAAACAAAGAGGGTCATATCAGCTATTCTGTCGAGTAATCTTCCAGTACAGTCATTTCCTATTATAGGATTAAGGTGCACATTGTATTTATCCACAATAGTACGGAGATAATTACTCTAAAGTGAATTTCCATTAAAATTAGAAATTAAAGATCCTACCTGTTTCATAAACTGATCCAGAACTCTGGGGTGAGCGCACACTTCGATAGTAATGAACACTTTTTCAAATTCTGAGCGTTTAGACCTCACAGAAACATTTATTATTTTTTCATCCAAAAATTTTCTGAACCATTTTGCCGTCCTTAGTACCTTGTGCTCCTTGTCTTTTACAGCCATACGACGAAATACTCTGGCATTTAATTAGGTTAATGTACCATCTTTTATAAGAGTATTTACTATGTCTTTTAATGACTGACATTCGCAAGGAATCGTTTCCAAAAATGAATTATTTATTAAATGCGATCTTGCTTCGCAATTGGTTTACTAAGTGGAGACCATATATAGATTGTTTCCTTTGCAGAATATACGTTTTGTTTAGTTTTATTTGGTCAACCACGAGTTTGAACAGTGATTGAATGGGAGTTTATTTATTTGTCTCCTAACCGGAATACTTGCAACTACAGTCATTTATTAAAGGTGTGTACTTCTTGCATCGTAGCATGACGGAAAGTAAATAAGCAAATGTGATGGGCTATTGGACTGAATATTATGGCTCAAAATACGTTAATTGATATTCATACTTTCCAGGCTAATGTCAAGCAAATTGAACTTTTCAAACAGCGTCTGTAGATTATCCACTACGCCCCATCCACAAAGAAAACCCATTCATTGGGTGAACATGAATGCTAACTTATTTTGACACTTTACTCATCTGTATTTTGTCAACATTAGTCATTTT